ATTTTTCCACTCTTTTATCCTTGGTCTTTGGCCATTACAAATAGCTTTCTTCTGAAATAGTGATTAAGGATAACCCACCAATATTACAAGCTTCTGTTTTATTGGCTCGGGACTGTAAATAATAAATAAAAGAGCCCCTGTAGTCTCCCAGCCATGTGGGCAATGGCACTGATATTCAGAAACTTCAGAAATGATAGCACAAATCAGGTGAGAACCCAGCAGACCATATGCATGTTCGAAACATGCCGCTCAATTGCCAAATACAACTTCATCTCATAAGTTTTCATTATAAAGTGGAGAATGTGCACTAAAAACAAACATTTTGAAACCATTCTTGACAAAGAGCAATATGAATTTACAAAGCTGCCACATATGAAATCAAGTTATCCTAGACTGGTATAGTGCTTTCTAATGAATAATTCTAATGGAAGCAAGCCATGAGGGTAATCACACAAGGTCCCTAAATATGGGAAAGTCCATTTGAGACAGGGGTGTCAAACTCGCAACGTCATGTGATGTGTCTTGATGTATTGCGACTTTTTTTCCATTGCCGGCAATGGGGTGGGTGCGGTTTCGGCATGACATATCTGGCCCACAGGCCAGCAGTTTGACACCCCTGATCTGAGACCTAACAGTACTAATGGACCTATTCCCTCCCTCTCCATAAACTTGCCTAACCCCCTTTTAAATTTAAAACTGTTCATTATTGTAAGGAACCATATTTCACCTGCTCTGAATCTACCAGAGGGCTGCCCAGAGTTTAGTATTTACATCAGCAAGGGTAAAAGTCAGTAGAGCTGATTGGCAGGAACTACAGGAGCTGGAGATGCCACAGATTAAACCTGGGACCTTCTCCATACAAAGCACACACTCTACACCTGAGCTCTCCCCCACACTTTCACCTCTTTGCATCCAATAGAGGTCTCTGTACAAAAAGTCCCCACCTGGCCAACATGGAAGACTCTGAAAACATGAAGACAGGCCTCCTTTCAAATAGACAGGTGATGACAAATTTCAAAATGAGGCTACTCTGTATCTCTTCTAGCACTGGGGCAATACCTGCATTTGCATCTTATCTCTCTTTTGAGAGAAAAGCAGGTAGTGTATCCAAATGTCAGCATTGTTAACAGACAGCTTTTAAAACTCAGTCTCTTCCTTAAGATAGATGTATCTAAATGCCTCTGCTTACCATCATTTGCTGATCAAAGGTCGCCCCTTAAACAGGGCACCAGTTTTTAATTATTTGCTCACCACTAGTAACACACAATTCACTTGGGAAACTAAGCCCATCAAAATAACAGAAAAAGGTCCAAAGACAATGTTGTCAGTGTGCCATTTCAGTAGTTTGACATTTGATACAAATTAAAAGGAGATAACCACATCATTTAACTAGTTTGCAAATGCCAGTCTGAAATGCCATTTACAGGATTGTTTTGCTTTAGCTCCCAATATACCATTCATTCAAACTGCCACATTTCTCATACTGTTCATTGCATGGCTAAGTGACACTCGTATACAGAAATAAACCACATTGGGAAAATAATTAATGTTAACTAACACACAATTATTAGGCGCAATAACTTGGCTGGTTAAGGACAATGGGATGTGTAGTTAAAATAACAGACCTGGAAGGCTGTAGGTTCAGGATAGCTGCTTTAACAGGTTAGCCCACAAAAGTCACAGAAATTTATATGGAGAGGAGAGAGAGCCAAGAAATTTTAGCATTCTGATAACATCATTTCTACAATATCTTACAGAGTTTCATAAGCAAAGGGACACATATTGTTGCCTTTCATAAGCAAAAGGAGACATGTTGTTTGAAGATTATACTTCAAATATCAGTTGTGAAAGACAAGAAAGGATAAATAGGAGATGAGGAGAACACAGCAAGTATCGGATGTTACTATATTGTCCTGTATTTAGGCATGACTGCAGGTGGGAATTAAAATGAAAAGTTACACAAAAAGTTGCATAGCTAAGGAAACTATTGTCCAGACTGAAAGTCCCATACGCTTACACCAACAAATGACATTTGTCCAGGGAAGATATTGAAACCAAGTGAAAATGACAGTATTATAGAACATATTGAAGAATTCCTATAACCATTTTTGTAATTATGTGGCCTTCTTATCACACATCACTCATATCCAATGATAAGAGTCAGAGCAAGTAACTTATTCTAAGGCAGATAAGATAATAGCTAAATGCATCGTGGCTCTTTCCAGTGATTACAATTTGTTTAAGCATAATATCTATTGGCCTCCAGTGCTACAGTAAAACCAAGACCACCTGCAGGAAAAATGACAATGAAAGAAGATGAATTGGAACCAATAGAACTTCTAGGATTTACGCAAACTGGAGAACAATTATCTCTTCTGATGGAATGCAAACAAAAAGAAAATCAGATTAAAGCAAGAATTCCTAATGTGTATTGAGAAAAGCCCAGGGCTAAAAATAAAAATTGCACATATTTAAACATAACTTGAGCCCAAAAGTGGGACTGAGAGCTTGCTTTTTATTATTATTATTTAACTACATTTCATTTACTGTAATTTTAGGCTTTTAGCAAAATCACAGCCGCAGAGGAGATACACCAGCAGCCTAACTTTCTAAGAGCTTGAAATAAGGCAGCCCAAAATGTGCTTGAAGATTACAGGATAGGCCACCAGCATTGATGGGTTGCAACTCACTTATTCTTATTTTCAGCCATTGAATTTATATCACTGATCCACATTGCTAGCAATTTTCTACAGCTTTTAAAAATCTAGCATGGATGTTTATTGTAAAATACAGAACTATAAATCTAGTGTTATCTTTCTGCATATATTTCTTTGATACAAGTAAACTGAACACATGTCCATTTTATTTTGGAGTTCATTATGATATCTACCCATCAGACATTGTTTTCACTAACTCAAGTTTATGGTGTGGCACTATTTATTAACATTCCTAGAAAGTGCAACTATGGAAAATGCTCTGGATATTATGTATAGGAAGATCCTTATTTCCTTAAATGGTCAGATCATTGAAATGATAATTAAGGCCCTTAATTCACAAATATTTGAGGTTCTGTGTGAATAAGTAAAAATTGCAATAAAAATCACATGATCTGGGAAATGATAAAGAGGCCTAATATACCTTAAATATTTACATTTATTCAGTAAGAATTTCATCATTTGACACTGCTGGCTTTTTCCACTATGCATAGATTAGCCTTTAAGAAGCCAGAAGCTTCACCATTATGTTATTAAAACCAACTAATAATCTTCTCTCTGGCATTTGGGAAGACGAGTCAATGCAGCTTCTTCACTGTAACAAACTTGTTTCTTTGTTCCTCATACTGTATTCTTGAATAGTTACTATTCACTTCAAAGGTAGACTGGATGATCTCAGGGTCAAAGCTACCTCTAATTTCTACCAGTCCACATCTATTGCCTCACAATAAGCCTATCTTTGTGGATTTGGCAGAGTGTAGTTGATTTATATTCCTGTTTTCCCCCACTTCATTTTACAAATGGAAGAGTTATAGAACCCCTATTCTGAAGCAAACTCTAGTGCAGATGATCAATCCCACCAGGCTATACAGCTGGCACATTTATCATTTTTCATTTATGAGGCACAAGAACAGAGAAAGGTAAGGAAAAGACAGAGAGGGAAAAGATCATCTCCCACTATACACAGACTCCAAATTTTTTTCTTCTCTTTTCCCCTCATGAATTATTATGATAAACCTAAACAGATGTCATCCTGGCATTTGAGCTCTGAAATATAGTTGGAAAAGCAAGTTATAACTAATGCAGAGAAAAACGATGAGTGTCAGGAAGCAGCACTCTTCTTCAAATTTCAGATAAGCTTCTCTAGCCTAAGGGAGGGGCCTGTCGAAAAGAAAATGGAACTGGAATGGGAAGCTTTGCTTACTAAAAAGCAAGTTCCCTATTTGAAAAAGGCTGTAGCTTGTCAGGGGAAACAAGCATTTAGGCTATAAGAGGCTCAATCCCCATCATCTTCTGTCACGAATCACAAGTTTGCTGACTTCTGAAAAATTTATTCAGTCCCTGGCCAGCAGAAATTTAAGAAGTTTGAATTGGATGAGATAGAACAACTCCATGAGAGAAGGAACGGCTGCCTACTGTATTTCTACCATCTCTTCCCCCCACCTTAAATTCTATAATTTTTGAAGACTGCCTGGACAAGTCCTTGCAGTTTTCTTGGCAAGGTTTTTCAGAAGTGGTTTGCCCATTGCCTCTTTCCTAGGGCTGAAAGAAAGTAACTGGCCCAGCTGGCCTTGTGCCCAGGTAGAATTAGAACTCATGGTCTCCTAGTTTCTAGCCTGATCCCTTAACCACTACACTAAACTGGCTCTCTGGTGTTCTTTACTGTACTTTAAAATGAAACATACTGAAGCATAAGAATGGCACATTTTCAGTTTTAATTAAGAAGTATGCTTGGATCATCAGACATATGAAGCTGGCAGAATAGCCAATCTAGAAACCGTCCTAGAAACAGTAAAAATGGTATGAATTCTCTCTTCATCCTGTTAGTTGAATTGTTTTGTAGGAAAAAGCAGTTTGTCCATTTCCCTGGAGTGACTTGAAAGTTAAGCAAATATTCAATTGGGTATGTAGGCAGACTTAATATGTTTCAAAGCTATAGAGCACCTGTTGATTGTGCACTGAACTTGATTGTGCATCATCCAACTTGTAACAACTGTCTACATAAAATGTAATTTCATTTGCACTAGAACACTGAAAAGGTTACTTTATTTTTATTTACCTTGCCTAGCTTAAAGATGTGGGAAAGCTATATTTTAGTTTTCTTATCTCACAAATCTTTTCTACATTTCTTGCTATGAGTTTTTATATCCCATCCCTCTCAATCCATATTTTTCATCCTTGCTTTGTCCCTTATTGTGTTCTTTTGGGCAGGGCTGTAATTTCTGTGATGTGCCCTGGGGTCATACAATATCATAATATCTATTCATTTTTATGTTTGATACAAACCCATTTGTTCCACAATCTCAGGTGGGAATACTCTAGAGGCAAACGCCCTTCGGAATATGTCAGAAAATTCCTTATCAAGACCTCCAATACCCATCTTCTCAAAATTCCAATCAGGGTTGATGATAGACTGACGGTTTTCCCGAGTTTTGGATTTGCCTATAGAAAAAAAGAGCAAATTCAAGAATAATAATTTTAATCAGAACTGTTACAGAAGGCTACGATAAATTTCAAATACACTATTATACATGTCTGATACATATCACACTGATAGTAATTAAGAACATGAGCTAAGAATTCTTTCAAACTCATTTGGTTAAGAATAGATTGAAAGACTGGGAATACTTCACTATAACAGAAAATAGAAAATATTGTCCTTGTCTAAAATGTGTTTGCTTGTATACATACATAAACAATCAATCAAATACATATATCTTTCAGATTTAACAAGAATTTAACCAAGTTTTTATCCACATATTTTCTCATGTTTTAATAAAAAGGGAAACTTGGAGAGCTTTATGTATAAATTCCATGCAAGCAGAAAGCACTATTTTAAGTAGGATAGTTAAAGATTCTGCTCTGCTTTTTTACAAGTAAAGGTTATAATAAGTCACAGAGTCAATAATAATACGTCACAGAGACTGCCCTAGATTCTCTATATTTTTTTAATTGGGATAGACCAGTAAGCCATGCGGAACATTTGATATTCACTCATCACATGACAGGTTATGAAATATTGTTGAAATAGCTGAAAACCATACTTTTCATTTAGGAGAATCAACTTTCTAGATTTCATGAATTTGGAAATATGTTTGAAAACACTGCAGAGCAGTGTAATCATCTAAGTGATTATGTTTTCCATCACTCTACCAGCTTTCTTCTAAGAATAATATTCTAACAATGCCAAACTAGAAATCTGTCCATGATTTACTTGAAGTTGAAGCAGGAACGAAGAACATTATCTATCTATCTATCTATCTATCTATCTATCTATCTATCTATCTATCTATCTATCTATCTATCTATCTATCTATCTACCTACCTACCTACCTACCTACCTACCTACCTACCTACCTACCTACCTATCTTTCACATTTCTTAACCACCCATCTCCCTCAGAGAGGTGCTCTGGTTGGTGTACCATATAATTTGGCATAAAGAGGCTGGCAGAGAGGCAAAATAAGTTTATAATAGCCATAACACCCTTTATTTTTTGCAAGTGCAGGAGATTGCATCAACAATTTGCTTCCAATAATGATTTAATTCATTTTAAATAGTAACCCAGTAGCAGTCAAAAAATGGAATTAATCTGAATTAATATTATCACCCAAGGTTAAGTTTAAGAAATTAGAAATTAGAGAAAGATAAAAATATATATTTTTCTCAATGCATGAAAGTGGGGAGAGGATATATATATAGTTTAGCTACTATGTACTATGTATCTAACCATTCTATCCATAAATCATTCTGATTGGCACACAGAAAATTACTGATATATTTCTTCACAGGATACATAGTACTTATTAGTAAACTAGATCCTGCCCATCATTTCATCGATCCATTATGAAAACAAATTAGAATTAAAAATCAGTCCCACAATTCTTTAACACTAAAAGGGAAAGAAGAAATTTAAAAAAAAAACATCAATGGCTACACTAATTTGTAACAGCTTCATCTTGTGTAGGCCTATTGCTGCAGAGGCAACAATAACACTAAAAATTTTATTGCAATAGTCTCATATGGTAACTCTTCTAGAGCCCAGAAATGTGCTTTAAACCGAGCTCAGCCCCTTCACACAAAAATCTGTTTTCTTAATTTGAGTAAAATAATTGAAGATAAGTCAGAACATTGTTTCCAGAACACTTGGGAATCAGGAATGCTGGCTGGCCTGTTGCAAATGGCTCAGAATTCTAACAATAAATTCAGACCCAGCTAATGTACACTCCCTTCTGCCTTCCATTACATTTCTACCTTGAAAAGTCAATTCAGCAAGTCTATAATTTGTAAGGTACATCACCTAGGGAGTTAAAGCTGGTGTAATTCAGTCTTCTTGAATTTGGGGATCTATTTTAAGGTGTGGACTTCATCTCCCAGAATTTTTTAGTCAACATTGATAATTCTGGGATCTGAGATCTACACTATTTATATAGCAAAGTCTATCAAGCTTTTTAAAGAATATTGTATTATATTCTTACAAAAGAACAGACCAGGCACTGGCACACAGGAGAAATAAAGGATTAAAAGTAAAAAGGAAGATTAAGAGTTGACATGAGACCAAATAAGAGTAAAGGAAATAAGAAATAAGGATAAGAAAAAGGGAAGAAAGCAAATCTATAGCAAAAAGGGACTAATTAGAGAAGGGGTTTTGAAAAATGTACTAGTACTTGAGGTCTAGAACACCGGAATGCTTTGGAGGGTTGTGCTGAGAGGATTGATGGAGTTTGATAAAATCCATTCTGGGAGTTCACATGTACATTATATCCCTGTTTTCCTCACCAGTTCTTCCTTCTATTGCTCTCTAATTCTCATTGTTACTAGCATTCTCTAGTCTCCATGCCACACTCTTCCTACTTCATATGGCTGCATTTTGGCATCTATTTTCTTGCCTGCAAAGCTGCACTGGCCCTTGACATGTTAGTTTCTCCAAAAGTCCTTAAGGAGTGAGCAGGAACTTTGCTGAAGTATTTTGTTATTATGTGCAACCAGGGCTTTTTTTCTCATAGAACGCCAAGAACAGAGTTCCTGCACCTTTTTTGGATGGAACCTTGTAGGGCAGGCAAGGCGGGTTGTATGACGTGTGTGAGTTCCAGCACCTTTTTTTTTTTTTTAAGAAAAAAATCACTGTGTGCAACGTATTGGACAATGGTACCCTATAACCATGTCAGAAGATCTAGATAACAATATGCTAATGGCTTTGGGTCAAGAGAAAAAAAAGTGCTCAATGAATGGGGCAACTGTAGGCTACAAGGATTTGAAAAACAAAAGAGTGGAAACAAAAATGAAAAGAATAAAGAAAATAATGGGAGAAGTACAAGATGACAGATAGGACTTTGGTTATGAGGGGCTGTATAAACTGATAGGCAGGAGAGTACGGAGGCTTGAAGCCATATATCCTGGAATCAAAAGTGTGCGTGGGGGGGGGGAGGATTACGTCCTTAGTTTAGTCTAGATTCTGAGAAAAAAAATGTTCACTGCTATCACTCTTGTCTATGAAAATGGTGCGGGAGGGGGGTCATGGGGAAATCATTAAAAGAATTAAGCTAAATGGTTAGTTTTTAATTACAGGACTCTAGTATTTTATGTTATTTCCAAAGAAGCAGCAAAATTAACCACTCAGCTTTTCCAATTTATTTTTCTTATTCGATGCTGCCACATTCTGGCCATGAGTGGTATTTGAAACACTGACAGCAAAATAATAGTGGTTTTTCTTTCATTCCACAATACATCTTTTATTAACAATCAAATCCCATAAGCATTCTCTAATCTAAAAAAGCAATTATAATATAGCAAATTAAAACATAATTAGTAGAACTAGCAAAGCAATGCAAGTTTCTGCTAAATTAAGTAGATGATTTTGAAAAATATTTCACAGATTTAAAAGATTGTCATATAACATTTATCATGTTATACCACATACAAGACATAATCATAAAAACATCTATAGACCATTCACATAAACTGATACAATCCTTTAAAGGAACTCTCTTATCAACATAAAATGTCAGATCAGTGGCAGATCTATATTACCAGCCTTTTATTCTAGGCATGGCATACTGCATATAATAAATCCAAAAGTTAGAGAGAGAGAATTTCCTACATCCAATTGAAAACAATAAAATGAAGAAAATCCCTCATTTTTCAATCAGTTTCTATGGAATGACTTTCCCAGGGGTCATCAGTGATGTAGCTTTGGTCATCTGAAAAAGCAGCAGAAAAAGGAATTGTCTATCCAAAACGTGATATAATAGTTAAGGAGTTAGACCAAGACCTGAGAAACCTAGATTCCTCATTCAGCCAGGCAGACTCACTGATTTAGGGCAATCATTGTTTCTCAGCTCATCACCCATAATGGGTTTGCTGGGAAGACAAGATTAGAGATATATGCTACCTTGAGATAAAAAGTGAGATATGTACAGATCTTAAATATCATTGTCATGGATTCTAAGAGGCCCCCTCAGGATGAATACAATTCTACATGGTCAATAGAGATGCTGAACAAGAACAATCAGCAGCATAACATACAATAGTCAGTATATACTGTATGTGAAGAAAAATATATTTAACAAATACATTTTAATACCTACTTCCCAAAGTGTATTTGTTTTTGCCAACTTTCCTCCTAATGCATCTCTTTAATATGCACATTTTTAGATATTCTTAGTATATTTATTGGAAAAGAGTACATTTCTAAGAGGCAGTTTAAAAATGAAATAAATATATTTAACCACCACTCACTTTACATATCAGCTCAAAGGTATATGACTAAAGTAGATTTACCTAAGAATGTGAGCCAATAAAAGTATCTATCATTTGAACATGCCAATGGAAAATAACTGGGTTCACATTCTCATGATCTGGCTATAGGATCCTTGATTATTAAGTGGGTAACACCTCTCCTTATACTTCTGGTTTCTGAAAAGCTTTTTTCCATGCTTCTTTTAAATGCTCAAAAAGTGTAATTTTCCTTTATATCTAGTGATCCCCATCTCCTTTCTATATTCTTGTTTTTCTTAAACTAAGATGTCATTAGTATCTTTGATTAAAGAATAGTGTCCTTAGGAAACTTAAGCATCTGATGAAGTTTGGTAGCTCCTAAAAGCTTATCCTCTTTAATGACATTTGTTAGTCAGAAAAGATGAACTAGACTTCTTCTACTACTAAGTCCATATAAATGGGGAGACAGACTAGTTAAAAATGGATTAATAACTTTTGTGATTTCTGGTTGGAATGGAAAATTATTTCTCATCATTAGACTTACCAATAAGAGTAAGAGAAGAACTCTCAGCCTTCTCAAATGCAACTTGACTATTTCCCACAACAAGACCTATTTCAATCTGAGCATGGAAACAAAATACACAAATAAAAGCCTTTAAGAATAATGACATTTTCAATATTTCCCACTGAGATGCAGAAGGCAAGAAACAAATTGGCAAACAGCAGAATATAGTTATTTCAATCCAACTTGCATTCTGCCTTCACACTATTTTCAGCAGCATGTGTCAAAGGAGGCTAATTCGTGATTATCTGCTCCCTGCTCAAACTATGAAAACAGGAAGAGGATCAGGCATCTAAGGTTCTAAAAAGGAAAACAGCTGCCAGCACAGAAGGTAGATGCAGAAAATACCATCACTCAGACCAGGAAATGACACTCAAACCAGGTGGGAATAGAATAGTTCTAATATAAGAACGAACATAATAAAGTAAACAAAATTTGCCATATTTATATATGACAAATTAAAACAGATTTAATGAGGGAAAATGTTACTTTAAGACATTAGACACTCCCATAATATACATTTGGCACTTAGGATTTGATCTTGATTTCTAGAAGTTTTGCTGAACCATATGCTGTTTCTTAAATTGTTTATTTTCTGTATTATTTCTTCAACTTCTCAAGGTTGGTTTGATTTTCATTGATTATGACATTCTCCTAGTCTAAGAACTAAGATTATGATAGTTTTGCATGGTTGGCTTTATGAAAAATTAATGTAATTCACCGAATAATAAAAGTATAATGCTTGTCCTCCCTTTAAAAATTAAAAATCAAGTAATTACTTTATTTGGGGATGTGCCTTTTGTTTAGACTTCTGATGATTTAGGAGATATGGTAATGACATCCCTGAATCAGGAGGATCTGAAATCTGCAGTTCATTTTTAATCTTTTTTGGGGGAAGGGGTGTTTCTTAACATGCCAGCTTGTTTTGTAAGAAAATCAAGTTCTCAAAGTCTGCAAGTTTTCTGCCAAATTTCAAGAGAGGTGGTCTTAGAGAATGCTAGGAATCCCTCAAGCTGCTGCTTGCTCAGTCAAATGATATATTCCAATACCATTAATACAAGAATGGCCAAAATTCCTCCAAGAAATCCACAAAGAGTGCCCTTTCCCAAATTCTGGGTCTTGATTTAAAAGTTCAGCTGCCAGTTTTCATGTCGTGATCTACTATTTTATGTCTTAAAACTGCATGCATATACAATTATGCAACTTACCTTCTGTTTTTTACCTGTGGCAGAATCTCCTTTAAGAATACTAGGATCCATAGCTTCAATGTCCTTGACCAACAAGCCAAAAAGTTTGTCATTGAAGGTAAATACAAGCTGCAGGAGTAAAGAAAAATGCACATTAAAATAATATAACAGGACAGACAACTAAAGTTCCACATGCAAAATAGGGTGATATGGTTTATCCTAGATATCAGAAGGTACATGCTATGAAGATTAAGCCCTCTGATGATCTGCAAATTTAGAGCAAAAGTACAGATAGTCCTCGATTTACAACAGTTCATTTAGTGACCATTCAAAGTTCAACAACACTGAAAAAAGTTACTTATGATCATTTTCACACCTACAAATGTTGCAGTATCCTCATAGTCATATGAACGAAATTCAGATGCTTGGCAGCTGACTCATATTTATGATGGTTGCAATGTCCTGGGATCATGTGATCCCCTTTTGTGACTTTTTTAAGTCAATGGGAAAGCCAGATTCACGTAATAACCATGCTATTAACTAAACAACTGCAGTGATTCACTTAACAACTATGGCACAAAAGGTCGTAAAATGGGGCAAAATTCACTTAACAAATATTTCACTTAGCAATAGAAATTTTGGGTTCAATTGTGGTCGTAAGTTAAAGTCAAAGTCAATTTACTTATGTAAATTGAACTATCGGTTACTGAAAATCACATCCCTCTTCATGTCTCATTTAATCATTATCAGCTTATATCTTATATCATATAGTCTATCTATTTATCCATCTTTATTATTAGTTGTTATGGGTAGAGAGAAAAAAACACTGTTGATGATATTATAGTCCAGAATTAAGAAAATGTGAGAAGAAAACGTGTGAAAACATCATTCTTCATGCTCATTGGGAACTTTGGAAGTACTGTAATCCCCCGAGTGCATCTGGAAGGCAGTATTTTTCACTTTCAAACCCAACATCAATTATACACTATTTACTTTTATTCTACATTACTTTGTACCTTGGGTACAAAGCCAGCTAAGTCACTTTCTCTCAGCCCTAGGAAGGAGGTAATGGCAAACCACTTCTGAAACCCTCCAGAAAGTCTCTGAGAATCAGACACAGCTGAATGGAAGAAAAAAAAATCTATTATACATTCCTTGATATCTTACACCATGGATCACTGGAACTTTAATTCTCTTCCTCCAGCAGAAATAGTTTTTTAAAATGGTGAAAGTGTAATTTTTTTATTTTCTATTGCAATTATTATGCTATCTAATGATTACAATAAACATATAGCTTGTCTTATACCATCCCTATATTGGTCAGTCTAGTATCATTTCTTATCATTTCTTATCATTTCTGCTCTGACAAATATGGCAGAAGATTCTAGCAAACAGAAGTCTTCTCCAACAAATGTTCCAGAATACCATGGATTACTTGAGATATTCTGGTTGTATAAATAACTCATTATATCAACAACTTCTTAAGTGATGTCCTTAAAAATGTTGCCTACATCTAGGCATCAAGAGCCCCAAATCATCCCCAAACGTTTGTAACCTGCAAAAAAAAAAATGCTTACAGATAGTCTTTTCTTATTTGCAATATAAAAGAAAGTGCAATTTATCATTCATAATTATTCACATTTTGGTATCAAATATAAATACTACTGAGTGAGAAACACACAAATGTGCAAAACCATTGGAGCACAAACCTGCTGTCCAACTGTGAATGCTTGGTTATTGAATTGCTGGATGAACTCTGCTGCCATTTTGTCTGAGTCATAGGGATTTGAGTCAATATTTTTCTTCTGCAGGAAGTCTATCTCAATAGTCATAGTGCCAATACACTGCTTGGTCTTATCAAAGTTATACAAAGAAACTGTGAAAAAAGAAAAACATTTTTCAACCATGATTCCTTTCAGAAGAACTTTGTGTCCAAAGAAAATAAAAAGCATAATTACTCATTTAATGAAAAACATGGCTATTATGAATTGTTCATAATACAATGTACTTCTAATGTATCTGTTTATTTATTTGTTTCCTTGTTTATTGCTATTGCACTTAGAAATGACTGGAGGGGGATACAAATTTTAATTCTAAAATAAATATATGAGCCAAAAATGTCTTTTTGAGAAGAAATACATTTTGTTATCATTCTGTGTGAATTTTAAGGACTCTGTAGGTACCTATAATCTTTTTATCACTTTGAATTATTTATGATTGCTTAATTTCTTTTTTACTTAACAGCTTTCTAAATGCCAGCTTAAAAATGGTTAATCAAGTATTCTGGGTCATCTGTTCAGGCACAATGCAAAAACAAATAGTATGAAAATCTAGATGGCTTCTACTTGGAAGAACAAACTCTTCCAAACAAACAAAAAAGATAGTAATTACTCTAGGTTATGTTTTATTATTTATTTTTCAACACTGATAAAACTATTAACCCTGACATGAACAAGCTGAGAACTACAAAACATTATTTTAATAATTTCAGAGACAAAACTAATTGAGCTCATACACTAGATTTTATCCCTTTTTGTTTTTACCTGTCCATATTTTTCTCACAAAACAATAAAGGTTCTTTTTAGTTAAGAAAAAGAGTATTTTTCATAAAAGACCATAATGCACATCTTTAAAGTCATGATTATCCACAAAACAGCCTATATCAAATTATGCTATTACATGATCACTGGTACTGGAACTCAGGGCTTGGAAATTAAGATGGGGGTTTTAGCTAAATAAACCAGAGGGCCTCCAGCCCAACAATGTTAGGTAGCTATTTTTTATTGTCTAAAGCAGGGGAAAATATTTTGGATTACATTTCTTATGATCCCTAACCACTTCTATGCTGGAGAAGTTAAATTCTAAAGCATTTGGAAAACATCAAGGTGCCCATTACTGATGCAAAGGTATAAAATAATTATATCTAGAATCTAAATTATTGTTTTATTTAAAACTAATTAATGTTACAAATTATGTTTAACAATAATCACATTTTTAAAAAATGGAGACCAAATCATGGAACCCACACATGATTCACAGAAATATAACCAAATACTTCTTTACATGGCCCATTGTTTCCTACCATCTATAATACCAGTAGATAAATTAGTTGAAAAACACAATAACTTTTTCATTTCTGGTTAAACACCATCTGATTTTCATTCCTAAACAAAAAGAGTCTATCACTAGGACTACTGTGTCACAAAATATTTTTAATGTGGAATGATAAAATGTGTTGAACAAAATGGTCAAATCTGGGAGTCATTGTCGGACAATAAGCATAATGATAATCAAAATACCCTTCTATAATATGTCATGGACTGTTGTTTTCTTGAAACCAAACATCTAATTTACAAATAAACTTCCTGTAAAGCAATTGGCTATTGTTTGGTTGATTTGACAATTTTATTTTAAAATATAACTTCAAATGCAATTAATAAAAAAGCAGTTTTTTAATATTTATTTTTACTGAGGTTGACTCAGCCTTCCATTTTTCCGACACTGGTAAAATGAGTACCCAGATTGTTGGGGGCGATAGCTGATTTTATAAACAAGAGTGTACTGTAAAGCACTATAGAGCAGTATATAAGTCTAAGGGCTATTGCTATTAAAAAAAGATTTATAAGCTGTATAAAACTGAATAGGAATTTTCAAGGTAACTTTTAATTAGTACCACATGTAAAAATAAACACATTGAATTTAACTATTAAAAATCAATAATTAACCAAGGCAATCAAAATGACAAAGAACATCAAACAGAACAATTATTATGTTCTTCTAAATGATTTGGCATAGTCTAATATATCAGACAAAATCTAATATTTTAAAGTCTTAGATTACAAGAACTCAAACTCGATGTAGAAGTCCACATGCAGAATTTCAAATCGCAAAGTGTTTTCCAATTTAAACTTAATTCTGTATCAAGTTTATTTTTTAACTTCAATCTATAATTTTTTTATGAAAGGAATTATATATTATTTCTAGTAAAACGCATAGAAGACCCTGGCAAATTACATTTCCTCTAAGGTGTGCATGCTATTCATAAAACGGACATATGTTTATAAAGTTGATCACAAACAAAAATAATTATAAATAGTAGTAATATATTCAGTCATTATAAAATTCTAAGCTTGGAACTCACTGGGAATCCTGAACAAGCTCACTGCTTCTGTTGAACTGCTGCAGCAAGGATTGCCTGGCCTTGGCCCTGATACAGACTGAGCCCCCAGAAGAAGACCAACAGAAGCTCCTGCCCAGTGCTGTGGTGACACCAAGTGACTCTCATTGCAGCAGTTAAGCCAAGGCTGGGAGTTTGTGCCTTTTGCCTTGGCAGCAAGTAGGTAGCAGTTTCCCAACTTTTCTGTTATAGCAAACCTGCTCCCGAACCCAGACATATATATGTTCCCCTGCATACAAAGAAGTACCTCTCTCTAAAAAAAGATATACACATAGTCCTCGACTTACAACAGTTTGTTTGTTTGTTTAGTTACCGTTTGAAGTTACAAAAGCACTGAAAAAAACGTATGGCCATTTTTCACACTTACGAGCCATGCAGCATCCTCATGGTCACATGATCAAAATTCAAATACTTGGCAACTAACTCATATTTAGGACGGTTGATGTCATGTGATCAACTATTGTGACCTTCTGACAAGCGAAAGCAATGGGGAAGCCTCATTCACTTAACAACCATGTTATTAACTTAACAACTGCAGTGGTTTACTTAATAACTGTGGCAAAAAGATCATAAAATGAGACAAAACTCACTTAATAACTGTCTCACATAGCAACAGAAATTTTGGACTCAGTCGTGATCATAAATCAAGGACTACCTGTAAATTGATTTCTCTTCTCCTTTCAAAAAAGCTTAACATCTATTGAGTTTTGGCCCTGACTGTTGTTAATTTTATAAAAAATATTCAATTTTTAAATTAATAATGAAGTTTAAGTTAATTCAGAATACATCAAGAGGAAAAAAAGGAAATTATGGAGGAGAAATGAAAGGCTTTTTGCATGATGCTTTACTTTCTTTAATTACAATAATTCTTTAATTACAATAATCAACCCTCTCCCCTCACAATTTTTTTCTTTCATTACAATGTCAAATCCTCCCCCTTAGAAAAACAAACATTTTGAATGCTTACAAAATATCAATAGTTATCAGTTGGAGCACACAACATGAAGGAATAGTGATGTTTTAGGTATGGGTGGCACAATTATTTTACTTTATTTATTGGGTTTATTGTGATCTTAGGATTACTTTATCCAAATAAATATAGTAAGTAAACAAATGTGAAATTAAGCAGAAATAAAGTTATGATTGATGCCATATTTATATTTGCAATTTACTTGCATATTTGTATTGTGGCATATAAATTTGTATTTGGTTTGGAAAAGCTACATAATTCTTTTTCCCACATGTGGCAGGGAACATTACTTGCAGCTGAAATAAGATAACGAGCCATTTCTGTACATAAGTTGTAGAAAAATAACTCTTAGTAATGTTTGGAAGAATTGATATTTAACATTACTTTCCTATAACATTAGAATCCTATAATGAATTATCTTTCAGAATGTTATCATATTGTCACTTTGAAACCTCATCCTAAGAAAGCAGAACTCGTGGAAACAGTTTCTTCCAAAAGGAACTTTTATTAGGAGAAGCTAATGGCAGGCATAATAGACAGGATCTGATGGTTTCCCGCTCAGATCAATAGGTTAAAGGAGTCCCAAGCAAACCCCACCCCAATAGTTCATCCGATCAGTTCAAATGGGCCAATCCCCACGTGTTAGGTCCGTTGTGGGGAAAAGCTGATAACGCCAGTCTGACTCAGGCTCATAGAGGTGTTTGTTGGGTCTTCATACCTTCCCTTCCGAAACAGGAGATAAGCCAGATGCCCAGAGATGCATTCCTTTCTCCCCCCTTCAAGCTGACATCAAGGGGAAGACAGTTCAAAGAGTATGTATGCAGAGACAGCAAAAGAGTTACATTGTAGCGCTAGAGAAAACAAAGAGGCAGCCCGCAGCGGTTTCCCCCCTCCCTTCCAGGAGCATGGCAGAACCCAGAAAATAGAAAAAATATAATTAGAAAGAGCCCCTTAATGAAATATGGGTTCTGATATCCTGCCCCACCCTTAAAAGAATGAGACATCCACCAGTGGGAAAACAGAGACAAATTCAGATATAGATTAGTCCGGTTTGTTCGTGTATTCGGTGTGAAACTTCTTAAGCAGTTTAGGGGCTTTAATATGGCATTTGTGTACCCACTCGTTTTGGGAGGCTGGAAGATGTCTCCATGCTACTAGGTATTGAGTGGAGCCATGGTATTTCCTAGAATCTAAGATTTCTTTAATTTTGAAATGTTGTTCCCCTTCTACCATGATGGGAGGAGGGGGAGGAGCAACAACAGCTGGTCTTAATGGTGACTGTTGCTTGTGTTTTAGAAGGCTGCAGTAGAAGATTGGATGAATTTGCCTGAGGGATTTTGGGAGTTCTAATTCTACCGTCACAGGGTTTATGATTATGACAATGGGGAATGGTCCTACATATTTGAGTCCCAGTTTCTTTGAGGGTTGTAAGGATTTTAGGTATTTGGTGGATAGGTAAACCTTCTCTCCCACACTAAAAGGTTTTGGCTCAACTCTCTTTTTATCTACTTGCATTTTATATGCTTGCCTAGCCTCATCTAAGGCTTTTCTGACGACTGGCCAGGTGTTCTTTAGTTGCACAATCCACTCCTTTAACGAAGAGATTGTTGGGTCTGTTGAGGGGAGTTCAGGCATTGGGTTGAAACTCTGTCCGGTGGCTACTTGGAAAGGTGTGTAGCCCGTGCTGGAATGGACGGCGTTGTTGTAAGCAACTTCTGCAAATGGAAGT